AATACCTTGCCAGGTCCTGCAAGGAAATTCATGGCAGTCCCTGCTTTCAAGGGCTAAAGGCAAGCAGGCAGCAAATTAAATTGCCACCTTTTTTCTCTAAACCCTCTGTCCCAAACTGTCCTGAGCAGGCAAGAGCCAAATTGACAGCTTCTCCCCAGGTGACATTACCTGGTGCTAGCTCCCTTGTGCTCTTTGTGCCTGTCATACATCTAGAAAGCAGTTTCTCTCGGGAAATATTTGCAGTTTTATTTTGCACTCCTTAAACCTTATTGTGATGACAGCTTTGCTCCTGTCATTAACAAAATTTGGCGGTGTCTGCACCTTCAGATGCATTTGTTGTGTGAAGGAAAGTGTGCTGATCCCAGAGGGTTTCTCCTCTCCCAGCAGGTACGTTGCTGATTCCTTCCCCTTGCCATCCCTGACTGTGAATGGTTGTGTGGCAGTGTCCTCCTGAAACAATGGATGCTGGCACAGCTTGGTTTCCTCTGCTCACCTTCTGAGCCCCGTTTCTTGACATCAGCTTCTCTCACTGGGGCTTTGAGTTTGTCTGCTCTCAAGACAAATAGAAATATGTGGAAGGGAGTCCTGACTTCCCATTCTGCTGTTTATTCTTAAGTCAAGGTTGTAGTTTAGAAGTTGGATTTCAGTGACAGCTCCAGCATGTGCTGGCCTCCAGTTCTGTCTCATTCCTGTCTGACTGCCTGGCACAAATATTTGTGCTGGCATGAAATCAGGGATGGGAACACGTTTGGGTGTAGGGAGAAGACAGATTTGCTTTCTTCGGCCACAGCAGCAGCTGACATTTGCTAAAGGTTTTCTGTCAAACCGGCAGCCTGTGTGTGCTCAGATAAATCAGCATGTGCAGCAGCCTGAGCCTGAGAGGATGTGCTCAGCTGCACTGGGGCTGCTGGGGAGGGCATCTGCACATGGGAGTGCTGGCAGAGGGCAGAAGGGAAGAGCTGGCCTCTGGGAGGGTGGGGTGCTGCTGGCAGGACTGGGGGAGCTGGTGGACTGGGAGCCCACAGCTGGCTTGGAGGATGGCAGCTGTGGCTCTGGCAGCCTGGCAGGCAAAGAGCAGGAGAAGGAGGGTGCTGCAGGCTCAGGCTGGGGGTAGAGCAGTGGCATCTGGGAGTAGAGGTGGCAGCCCACATATGTAGGGCAGTTTGGTGGCACTAAATGCAGTCAGCAAGGTCATAGACTTGTGGGTAAGTTTAACCTGTTTCTGCTCCAGTGATGTCCTGGCTTGTGGAGATGTTGAGTGCCTGTATTTCCAATCCAAGCTTACTGGTGTGATGCATTAATGAGACAAGATGAGGTTTGTGTCTCCCCTCCATGCCTCACGCTGGGCTGTGATTCTCTAGCATGCACTCTTCCTTCAGGTGATAACGCAAAACCTGAAGGTTGAAAGTTCAGCCCCATGCCCCATGGGATCAGGAGAGCAGATACAAAGGTTGGCCTTCCTGGAGAAAGCCTCACTGTCTGATTTGTGTGGGAGATGTATGGCAAGGCAGGGGAGAAAAATAGCACCACTTTGGTGGCTTGGGCCATGGGGACCAGATACATCCAGGACTGCATTGTGGTACTTCTAGTGTGGCTGTTCTGTCACTGTCTGGAACTGACTTTTGGGAGGTGAGAAAGGGCAAAGGCAGGACTGAGGAGGCTCCTGAGCCATTTATTTTTCAGCATGAGCTTTGGGCCATTTGCACTGCTTCGGTGTGCGTGTGGCTCTGAAACTAATTTGCCTGATCATTTTAATAAATGTAAAAGGGATGTCCTGGTGTGCAAGTAATGGGGCATTAATCCCTGCCTAGCTGTGTTAACAGCACTCTAGGAAGGAAATACTCTCATGCTGTTCTCACTCTCTTAATTATGGGATGTTCAATTTAGGATCCCCTTCCATGAAGGCTGCTCAGCCTCTGGCTTTCAGGTGGCTCTCTGGTGACTCTTATTTCACTTCTTAAACCAGTTTCCTCCCAGTTCCTCAGCTCATTTTATCATGCACATTCCCAGTTCCAGCAGTGCCATTGTCCTGATGTTTAACCATACAAAAATTTTCTGAGGCATAGTACCTTTTTGGTGCTGCTGGCTTGTCTGCTGCCCCAATGCAGGTCCTGATGGCAGATTTCCTAGGAAGATGCAAACTCTGCTCCCTGATACTTCTCCCACAGGAAGCCTTGGAGCTATACCCTGCTTGGCTGCAGATGCTTGCCTGCTTTTATGTGCAGTTTTTGGCTCCTGAGAGCACTGTGTTCCTGGGAAAATATACTCAGGTCTTTATTTAATTTCTTTCATTTCTGGGTTAAATGTATAATGTTGTTCTGGACTTGTTTTTTAAATGTCCTGTAAAATTCCCAGATTTCTCTTCCCAGCCAGTTTTCCCCCCTCTTAGACTGCAGAATGGTAGCAGCTCTTTTCCAGCCCTGGAAGTGCCTGGGGTCTGGCTCAGCTCAGAAACTCCCTGACCAGGCCACTGGAGGGTTCATCATTCACCTCTTTTAAGGGACTCAGGGAGTTCTGTAGATTACATCAAAGTGGTCAGATAGAGCTTGGGGTGACTTAGGGTTTGTTTTGCAAATGATCATTCGTTGGAGCTCTGTTTAAACAAACAGAGCTCAAATAAGCTTTCCACTTCATTGCATTAAAATCCCTTAATTCATTAAAATCCCCTGGCCACAGACATTCAGGCCTCTGCAGTGCCAGGTGCTGTTTAAACAGTTATCAAGTGCTGGTGTCTGCTGTAAAATGATCACATTGTTCGCTTCCCGTCGCTTGTCCGCGAGTTGAGTGGCTTTTGTTAGGGGAGATGATACTAGTCCTGGTATTTGCTGGCTGTACAGCCAGCACCAAGGAAACCTGTAACTTTGCCCAGTTTTAAACCCAGGAAGGTTGTTTTTGCCCTGTCTTGCTGTGCAGCCGCAGCAGGAGCATCTGTTCCCTGGTGGGAAGCAGCAGCAGTTTTCCAGCTGGATCAGACAGCTGTGGAAGACTCTGTAGTTACTGGGCAGGTGGGGAGCTGAAGCCAAAAGTCAAAAGAAAAAAAGGCCAGAGAGAAATAAACTCAGCTGTCCCAAGCCTCTCTTGGTGCAGAGAGACTCCATTGCCCTACTTGTGTCAGCAGGTAAGAAACAGCCCTGTGATGTATTTGTGTGTCCATCTTGGTCTCTCACTCTTTTGGCTACCTGGCTGTGCTGAATACTGGCAGCCTTGCTGTCTTTCCTTGCTGTTGCCCTTTGTGGTGGATGTCTGTCCTCCTGAATGCCCCTCTGCATGGAATGGTGCAGCAGAGGCAACAAGGGGGGTGTTTTGCCAGAGCTTGGAGCAGGCTGTCAGGACCACTTGGTGCACGTATTTTGTCAGGCCTGTCTCGATAACACAAGTTAATTGAGTGTGTAGACATTATCAAGTGAGTTTTCATGATTCACAGCTTGTTTATGACAGGGTTGCAGGCTTTCAGCTACTGGTCTTCCTATATTCTTATATTTTTGTCTTATTCTGGTTAATTTGATAGAAAATTAGATTAACCTAAACCAAGCTGCTCTTGTGAACATGCATATAAAAACACATGTAATGAAGGGTGTAAGTGATTTTCCCTTGGAAAGTGCAGACTTAGCCGATCTGGAGCTTTTTAAGGTCTGCAGATCAGCTGGGATCAGGTGAACTGTCTGAAGAGGGCCACAGAAGATGTAACAGCATAGTGCAGTGGGTGAGGTTTGTGTGCAGTGTTTTGAGGAGGAATGCCTTTCCTTAGGGAGCTCCCTGTGCTGGTCTCTCACAGCTCTAGTTGAATGTGGGGCTGCAGAAAAGGCAGTTTCAGTCTCAAGTCCAAGAGTGGGACTGTACAAATGGTTTCATGCGGTCCTATCCTTGGCACTTGATATAACAGGAAGGGGACCTGAACTCCTTCCCATACCTGTTTGCACCTTCACTAGCTCTTCACACTTTCAGGGACCTTCTCTTCTCAGGAATGCACTGAGAGCCAGAGGTATCTCCAGAGCAGAAGTGCTGGCCTGTAAGCCCCTCTGTTGGATGTTAGATTCCGTGTGGCTTAGGAAATCTGCAGTACAGGAGCAAATTTCATTCCAGAGGGAAAGGGCAAAGGTACTTCCTTTGCTTCTGGCTCAGCATCCAGGTGGCAAGTGAAAGGGAAGAGGGGGGGAGTTGGCTGAATACTGCTGAGACACGTGCAGAGAGCATAGGGCATCTAGTTCCCAGGCTGCAGGTGAGGAGATGAAGGCATCTTCAGAAAGCTGAAAGTTGTGGCCACTTCTGAAATTTTCTCTGGTGTCCAGATTTCTTTGTGTGGTGACTTCTAACAGCTCTCATTAAACAGTAACAATTATGAGTCTTAGAACTGACTCCTGCAGTCTGGCAGAGCTGAAAGGAGCGGTCCAAAGAGCAAAGTGGCATCAGTAGCTTGGGGAGGGAGAGGCATTGCTTAAAAAGCAGTATTGGCACAAGACTGAACATGGGCTGTCTGTTTAAGCTTGGAAATAGGGGAAGGAAAGTAACCTCTGGAGGAGCAGTGTTTTGAAGGCTGTCCTTTGGACACAGCATGTATGTGTTGAAGGGAGGTGCTAAAAGAGTCTTGTGATGACACTTGACTCTCTTGGGCTGCCTGGGTGGACCTGCAGAGGGTTGGGGATGTGCATGGTATGGTGTGGAATGCTCTCTGAAGTTGGAGAGAAGTGACAGACATGGCTGTCCTGGCTTCTGGGCAGAGCTTGTGCCCTGCCTGGCTGCTGCCCTTCCTCATATGCTGCTAGAGCCTGATGACCTTGGCAACTCTTCCCTCCATATGTCCTTGTATATTTATATTTACAGACATACATTTATAAGGCTCCCTCTGGAGCTCAGTCTCCTCTTTGAGGAGATCAGGTGCTCCCTTAAGTCACTTGTGCCTCAGCTGTCCTAACCCTGCAGCCTGCCTGCAAGGAGCCCCTGAGCTTTAAGGAGAGTGTGTCTCAACTTTGTGTTCTTGGTGTCTTTCTGTCCTTTCCCAGGAGGAAACTGAAGTGAGAAAGACGTAACTGAAAAAGAAGGATTGGAAGGAACAGATTCATTTCTTCACAAGATCAAGTTTGAATTAAATGGCTGATAAACAGATCAGGTAACTTTTATTTTTTTTTTTTTAATTGTGCTTTAGGTTTTTCTTTTAAAATCTTTCAAACTTATTTCCGTTTGGGATCTAGGAGGCTGAAGGAAATCACCTGATCACCTCTTCCAGCCTTTAACGGTTTTGATTCTTCTTCTCCTTTCTTACCTGCTTTTTTTGAACCTTCTCTTATTTTATGTGTCTGCCATGTTGTCACATCTCTGCTTTCCTCAGTTCTTTTTTCTCATTGCCTTTTTCTTTCTACTCTTTGCTTTCTATGCTGCATGAGTCTGTTCCTTTTTGTTTCTTCTTTCAAAGGTCACCCTGACCTGCTGACTTCAGCTGCTGGCATCAAGGGAGCAAAGCCAGTCCTTGACCAGCCAAGGATGCAGTACTTGTGAAGACAAAGTCCACGTAGCCTTGTGCAGCCTTGTGCCCTTACTCTACAGAGTCAAGGCTTGAGTGATAGCAGGAATATGAAGTACCAACAATGATTAAGGACACTTATGTGCACAGTGGAAACTTAAGAGTATTGGTTCTGGTAAAGGCTGGATTTGAGTTTTCCCTGGAAATGAACGGGGATGCATTTCCTGGAAAGACACAGTTCTACCCTTTGCTTCCTAAGAGCTGTGTCAGGTGGATCTGCACAGTCCTCCATGTGGATTTAACTTTTTGCTGCTTGTGAAGTTGCCCCAGCTAAGTGACTCCTACATGCTGTGGGATTCCTGTGGGGTTTTTCATGTTGCTTTTCTAACATCTACTTTTCCAGGTCAAAAGCTCAGGACAGGTGGGATGAGTGGGTGAATGAAACATGCAGACAAAGGGACAGGACTTGGCAGTCCCTGAATGCTGCAGGCAAGAGGGCTGTCCCTTCTTAGCATTTGCCATGATTAGGGTATCTTCCTGTACGCCTGTTTTCTGCAAAAGTAAACAATCCTGAGCTGTGCTGATAAAAATACAGCATTGTGGAGTGTTTGTGTGCCAAGATTTGGCCTTCATCTGCTACCCAATTTGGATAGCACTTGGAACTCTTCCAACACACCCATGAAGGGCATGCAGAGATTCACCTCCATGGAGCCTGGCAGGTCTATGTTCCCCATAACCTCAGCAAAGCAAAATGATCAGACATCTGTGGCTATTTGACTTGGTATTTTGAAGGAAGTGGAGATGTGTCCTACAAGAGGAGATGTGTCCTACAAGATGTGCCCTGGCTCCTCCAGTGTGCTCTTGGGGGTGTGAGCAGGAGCTTGCTGGCTACAGGGACTAGTTAAAAGAGCTGAGGAGGAGCACTAGAAGGGGAGAACTGGGATGCATTTGTATCCCTTCTTGTATTAAACTGAGCAAATGGCTTCATTTGCATGCTAGCCAGCATTGTCCCCATTTCACTAAGCCCTGCACACGTAGGTAGTGAGAGGCAGTAGCTGTGCAGAAGCTAAATAGGACAGAGAGACCAGACACAGTGGATTCTTATCCCTTGAGAGAGCAAAAAGCACTGATGTGTGAAGTGGGATGACTCAGTCATAGGGGAAATAGCTTTTGATTCAGGTGCAATGGTCTTTGTCTCATGTTCTTCTCTGTGCCTCAAATCCCTCACCTCTCCTGCTTTGCTCATCTCTCCAGTCGATGGGACCACGTGTCTGCAGTGGTCACAGGCAGCCAAGCCAAGGAGATTTGTTTCTGACGCCCCTTAGTAGAACAAGAATGATAGAAAACACTAAAATCAACAGCAGTGGTTTGCTGCATGGTGAGATCAAGGGCACTGCATTTCTGCAGCAGTGCACATGGTACTTAATCTCAGTGTCTCACTGGATACTGCTCCATGTCCATCCCTTCTAGTTTCCCCCTGCAGTGTTCATGGTTAGATTCAGGTGTGATGGGAGTCTTGAGCAAGGGTTTTTCTCCCACAGGCAGAGGGAGAGGCTGTCTGCAGCCTCAAATTTTTGCTTGCTCAGACACATCAGATGATTCCCCTTTACTGCTGGGCTTTGGGCTCAAATTGGGGAATCTCTTGCACTTACAGTAGCAGCAGGCAGGACCTTTGTGTCTGTGTCTCAGTCCCACCTGATATAAACCCTGGGTTGATTTCACTGTTGGAACAGGTTGAGAAAGGCAGGTGTTTGCTTTTCCCATGTGTTTCAGGGACACTTAGAGAAGTGATGACAGTGCTGAGGCTGGAAGGGGGCACTGGTTGTACCTCACAGTCTGTGACCTGCCAACAGTGACTTCAAAGCTGAATTTGGGGAGGCTGAGGTAATCCTGTCTTCAAACACCTTCCTTGTCCATGGTGTCTCCATCCTGGGACACTTCTATCTGGTCTCTAACCTCCTCCTTCAGGGTGACTGTGGGTTAGATAAGGAGAGCACAATGATACAAAGCTTACTGTTTGAAGTTTTCCCATGTCCTGAGAACGAGTTCAGTGTAGGAGTTTACAGGCAAATCTATTCCATTCTCAGACTGTGGCATGAAGATCCCTGAGGCAACAGTCTGGAGTTGGTGAGGTCTGAAAGTCTGGCTCTGCACTGAGCTTGTAGTCTGATTTGGGCCTGCCTTCCTGAAGTACTGTGCTGATTTAATCTCAGTCAGCACTGTCTAGTTAGGAGTTGTAGGCTGAGCTCAGATCTGTCTGCCCATCCTTGGCACCTCTTCTTCCAGCTGTGCCAGCCCTGGGGCTGTGTGTGTGTTATATTGGCAGGTGTTGAGGAAGAAGGAGCTTTGGGTGCAGGACAGCAGAGGCTGAAAGGTGTGTGTCAAGGTATGTCAGTCCTGAGGTGTCAAGATCATGCTTAGCCCTTGTGGACAAAGTCTTTTATATTTTTTCCATCCCTCATTTGTCTGCTTTCCTCAGGGACCCTTCAAGTTGAAACCTGCAGTCTCCAATCCTGCCTTTCCCTCAAGCATGGCTGTTTATTGATCCTCTCTGCATTTGCCCCTTGATGCAGAGTGCTCTGGAGTGCTGTTGGGGGGAAGATGTTTGCAGGGCTTCACCCCCCCGTGCCTTGGCCAGCCTCAGCACTGCTGCCTCTGGATGGTAATGCAGTCTGTCCCCCATCCAGAGCAGCAAGTCACCACCATGAAAGGCAGTGTGCCAGTGCCCCCAGGGGGAGGATAGGCCTTGCAGGCCCACCCAGCTGCAGTCTAGGAGTGCTGTCAGCCACCAGCTTAATATCTGACACATCCTGTGTTCAGGGAGCCATATCCTGTGCTTTATTGGAGGGGGCTGACTCAAACAGGCTTTCTTTGTCTCTGTGTGCAGTGGTTTATTGAGCATGTAAGTGCAGGACATTTTTCTTAATTGAATTTGCTGGGAACCCATGTTTAGCTGATGTGGCTTTCGCTCAGTGCCACTTGCAGGAGTTCTCAGTGGGAGCACAAAGAGGAATGGAAAAAGCCCCGTGCTTTGGAAGCACGTGCAGCGAGCCAGGTTTTGATTTCCCCCAGAGGTATTAGCTCACGTCTCCACATCTGCAGCCCTGCAGGCTGCCAGCCCGGTGGCTTTGCTGGGCTGCTGCTTTGTGTGTGTTCCCCTGGCCCTGGGAGATGGGTCTGGAAGCAGTTTCCCATGGCTGTATCCATCTGCTCCGTGGCTGCCAGCTGGGTGTTTCTGCTGGGCCATTCTCACATGATGGTAGCAGCTGATGTATCATGACCCTCTCATTAGCTGTGGATCTGATTGTGGTGCAGGAAAGTGTTTGTCAGTAAACCTGCTGGCTTGGATGCCATCAGGCCCTAGCTGAAGGCTGTCTGCATGGTGGATGGTCCAGCACTCAGTCTTTTCTTCTCTAGGGACAACAGAAATCCCCATGTCCTGGGCAACAGGATTTTTTCCTGCTCCTAGTAATGTGTGGGTTAGGTGTTTGGCTCCACTCCACTCATCAGTGGTTTGTGCTGATGGTATGTGCTGCTTTCTCTGCCTCTCCATATACACAGCAGGAACCAAGCTTTGCTTTGTGGAAGAGCTTCCTTTGTGCTGGGGGGACAGCCTTGTCTCACAGCTATGCATTAACTCTGGTCACACAAAAGTCCTCAGCTCTTTGCTCCTTCCCTTCCCTGATATTACCCAGTGCTAAGACATCTGTTTCTCTCTATCTCATCCCCTTGCAGTTTACCTGCCAAGCTGATCAATGGAGGGATAGCTGGGCTGATCGGGGTCACCTGTGTATTTCCCATTGACCTGGCAAAAACTCGCCTGCAGAACCAGCAGAATGGCCAACGGATGTACAGCAGCCTGTGAGTACTGCCCACACGGGCACCATCCCTCGGGGCTCTCCACAGGAGTCCTTGCACTTTGTTACCTCTTTCAGGTGAGCTCAGCACCTCTAGGAACTGGGCTGTCCTCAGGAAAGCCAGGGGACAGTCTGGAGCCAAGCTGTGCTAGAGCAGATAAAGCAAATAGGGCAGCTCTGGAGGCTGCTGAGCTGAGCAGGGGAGTCCTCTGCAGAGGCACATCTGTTTGCATCCCTGGCTTGGGAGCAGTGTGTTCACTACTGCCAGGGCTCAGAACCAAACCACAAGGCATCCCAATCACCTGATCCCGAACACAAGGAGTCTGCTGAGCTGGTCAGGTGCCTGAGGGAGTTTCTGCCTCTGTTCTGTTTCCATTGCTCTGATATTGGAGATCCTTCCTTTGCTGTGTCAGTTTTAAAAAGAGGAAGCAGTTGCTCATTCCCAGTCTAAAACATTGCATGTGGACCTTTTGAAGGATCACAGGCTGACACATGCTATAGTTAAACCAGCCATCCACTGTCCAAAAAAACCCCAGCTACTGCACCTGTAGGAAAAGAAGGCATGAGCGTATCCAGCCCACCAAATTCACTTGGAGTTTGTGTCGAGCGCTTAGGGCTGTGTGTCTCCTGTGAGAATGGGTACCACACTTAGCACAAGATGCTTTATCCTGGGAACCAGAGACAGGCCTTAGTTTTCCAAAAGAATTTGTGGTATTGAGGGGAAGAAGGGACTGGGACTGGTGAGGTATGTCCTGTCCTCCTACCACTTGGTTTAGAACTAGTGTAACCTGTTCCCTGCTCCTCCACACCATCTTTTCCTCTTTCCTGCCCAGGAGAATTTGAGGCAGAGGGGGAATAGGAAGGAAATGCTCTCTTTGCTGATGGCTTTAGTCTCTGTGCCTCCTTGCTCTAGCTGATGACATGAGCTTAGGCTGTAGGCTCTGGTGCTTCCCTTGGTAGTTCCTGTGCTCTCTGCTCCCTCCCGCACTGTCAGTGTGCCATGACTTTTTGGCAGGATGTGGCCACCCATATTGCTTTGCATCCCCTTTTGTTGTGTCCTGCTCCTGCTGTAGATTGCTTCACTTCCCTGAGCGTCATTTACCCTTGTGACCTGACAGCAGGAGGAGTTTAGGCAGGTTGAAGAACTTGTAGGCACTCCTTGGGGCTGCATGCCAGGATGTCTCATGCCTGGAAGGGAGCTCGGTAGGAGAGAGGATTTAACCTCCAGTAGTCAAGTGCAAGTCAGCTCCATAGCCAGGAGTTGCAGTGAGATCAGGAGCTGTTAAGGAATACATAAGATTTACACTGTGTATTTGAACTAGCTGCTTCTAAGAGCAAGAAGAGCTGAGCTTTCCTAAGAAAGTTTCCCCTGTCACAGCAGCTTTTTTTTTTCTGGAAATGCTGTGTGCCCATCAGTACTAGATCTCCTGATTACACCAATTACCTGGTGTCTGCTGAACACCCAAGAAAGGCAGCAAGTTCCTTTAAAATGTTGGCTCTCTTACTTTAAGATAGTATGCCTTACTTATGCTCAAGAGATCTTTGGCATCGGGGGAACCTCTCACTTTAAAAAGACAAAGACACTAAAGGACTTCTGAGGGATGGAGAGAGCTTGGCTTTCGGGCTGTGCTGCCCCAGGTGTATTACTGTGGGGGTTCCATTTTAGTATAAGTTTAGTTGGCTGTTGGCTCCCTTTTTCCAGGGAGAGAAGAACACTGGATGTGGCCTTGGCTGCATCTTGTTCTGCTGCAGCTTGAGGGGCTTTCAGTGACATGCAAGCTCTATCCTGATGCAGCAGGGCTGTATGAATATGGTGGGGAGCAGCTCTTCTCACTCCTCTCCCTGCTGCAGCATCACTGGCTCGGGGAAAATGTGTTGCCTCCGGCACTGCAGTGTGAGAACTTGACAGGAGGGATAGGAGGGAGGTGCACTGAGATTTCTGGGGCTTGCAGATGAGTTGGAGGGGCTGCTCAGAAGGAGATGAGTATGTGCACGTCAGGGGCCAGGGTGGAATGTGTGAAAGATGAGATGCCAAAGGATTCAAGGAGTCCCAGCTGAGGGGAAACTCATTGCCGTGACTGGTAGCAATGCAGGATGGGCTCTTCACAAATAACTCTAGAACAGTCTTTGCCCATGGCCATAAAGCCCTCAGGGAAGCTTTGTATTTCCTTCTCTTCCACCTCAGCACTACTGCAGAGCTGAGAAGAAGTTTACTCCTTGAAAATGCATTTGTGTTTTAATCAGCCACAATTCTCTTGTTACTGCTTAAAAGAGCCTTTTATTCCTTAAATTATGTACACATACATGTATGTGCACCTCTCCTTTCCTGTATGGCTAGAGCTAGTACCTGTCTCTTTCCAAAGATCCTAAAGGCAGCATTCCAGCTTCATGCAGCTGTGGTCCAGAGAGGGAAACTGCCAGGGAATCTGTGCACCTATCCTGAACTGTGACTTTGGATTTGCTACCTGGGTGTGTCTCTGTGCCTTCAAAAGCCAGTGCTCTGCAGGGTTTTCCCATTTGTAGTAAATGTGTTTGCAACAAGGAAAGTGATAGTTTTCCCCTTGGAGCACAGTTTTCCCCTTGGAGCACAATACCCTGCCATGCTGGCCTCAGGGCAAGAGCCCGTGTGCTTGCCGCCTGCTGTGGGACTTGATGTGTTAAAAGTGCATGTTTTAATCTTCGTGGGAGGCCACAGATGACTGAGTGTTCAGGTCATCTCATCTTTGTGTGCCTCGTGTCAAATTTCACTGAGTAAGACAAACAAGTCAGCATGGGGGATTTGACCCCCCTCATTTCCCTTCCAGAGCTGGATTTTAAAATGTGCCGATGGGGATCTGCTTCTTAGAGCATTTCATGTGCATTTGCCACAGGGGACCCTGGATAAACAGCCCTTTCAGTGACACTTTCCCCTTTTGTGTTTCTAGAAAGCAGACAGTGTGTGCAGGGTGAGCCAGGGGTTTCAAAGCCCCTGTGACTGAGGGGGTGAAATGGGACTCAGGCTTGAACAACAGCACATTCAGAGGCTGACGTGGTTCCCATCTCAGCTGAGGGTTTTGCTGATAGAATGTAAATGGAAACCACTCCAAGAAATTTGTTTGTTTTTCTCTGCACTCACCCACCTTTGAGGTGCTGTGGTTGATCTCCCTCTGTTGTGTTTGCAGGTCTGACTGCCTCATTAAAACGATTCGCTCGGAAGGCTACTTTGGCATGTACCGAGGTGAGTACAGCTGACTCAGGCACAGCACAGCTTTTGTGTTGGAAGCACTGGTGCGTAAGTAGGAGGAAAAGCTCTGTTCTCTGGCATATAAAGCAATAACCTGGCAATATCCTCGGAGGTTGAACAGTGCAGCTGTTTCTAAAATAAACTCCATGCAGGTGTCTATTCAGATACCTACCACTGAGGACTTGAGTCCTCCAAATGACTGTTTTGGTGTTAAACCTTACCACTTAGTGAAGTTCATCATTACTAGCAGTTTAAGTGAAGCTGCTGGACTTTATGTCAAGACTGTATATTATGTTTCCCAGCTCGGGCATGGTAGCTTTTGACAGAGGGGCAGTAGCAAACCAGCTCTTGAAGTTCTGTGGTTAATGATTCAATTTATGTCAAAACCCTCTACCAGTATGGTCAGGCCTGCTGTCTCAAGCATGCCCAAGTGCCCTGTTCAAGCATTAAGACAAGCTGCAATTAAAAAAAAAAATTAAAGTAACCTGCTCTCCTGCAGAAAAACTCCCTTGGGATGGTAAGAAAATCAGAGGCTGGCTCAGGGTGGAGCTTCACCTGTTTGGTTGCTTTGTGCTGACCTGCTTCAAATCTCTTGGCTCCTTGGCTCAGGCTGTCTACTACAGCAGTGAGTTCCTCAGCTGACATGATACCTTTTATAATTTAAACACGAAATCCCTGTAAGTTTGTAAAGATTTTGAGGAGAGGAGGCCAGCAGGCCAAATTCTGACTTTACTTGTAGCAGAGGAAAGCATGGAATACCTTCTTGGCTTGCAGCACGCTCCAGCTGGCTTCACTGACCCTGAGCTCTGGTTCATTCTGTATCCTGATAGTCACCTGCCTGCATATGCAGTTTTTATCTGGGTGCTTAGATAGCATTCTTGGTGGGACTCAGTCCCTGATAAAGCCTGGTTCAAGTTATGCTGCTGTGATTAAGTTGAGTCCTTGCTCTTTGTTTTTTCAAGAGGAAGTCCAAAGATGCTGGCACCTTGCTCTTGGCACATGTAGTGTTCCTTGCTGCTTCTTCCCTGCTCCTAAGGAAACACAGGCATTGTGGCTGGCCAGCCCAGGAGCAGGCATTGGATGTTCAGGCAGAGTCTCTTGCCCAACTTCCTGATGGGCGTTTCAGGGGAGTGTGGTGGATGGCAGGGATGGATTGGCTGCTTTGCATCAGCTTTCCTGGGAGCAGGCAACAAGACAAATAACCTCAAGGAACCCTGGCAAGCTCCATCCTCAATGCTAGCTATGACGTGTTCCCCTTTGATTTTTTCCAGAATCTGGCTGCTGCTGTGTTCCTAGCCAGGATTTTGAGCTTGTGTTAACTTTGGCTGTAAATGTGCCATGGCAGGCTGCTTGGCAGGAGGCAAAAGGAGGAAGCTGGTTGGGGAAACTTACAGGGGAGACTGTGGGACCAAGAGTTTTCGTGAGAATCAGGACTTTTGGGAGAGACAGCTTAGTCCTTTAAGGCTTAGAGTGGTAGAGAGGATGTGGATCTCCAGGCCACTTGTCATCCCCAAGCAGAAGGGTACAGAGGGTTTTGCATATCTCTTTCTTTTCCCGACCTTTCCCAAGTCTGCTCAGCTTGGTCCATGTCTCTAACTCTGTTCAGGGTGCTGAGAGTTGATTGAAATTACTTCTGACTATTAATTAGGGAGCTGTGTTGGAGAGGCCTTTTTTTAATAGCTCCAACTCCTTCCAGAAAATTACAGATGCTTCAGCATGGCCATGGTGCAAATGTGAGTAGTCCCAAGAGCAGCAATCCTGGTCCCTGTGCCTCAGTTCTGTGAGCTGACATAAGCAGACCTTCCCATCTTCTTAGGGAGAGGGTTGGTGGGTAAAATACATCCAAGGTCCTTGAAGACTGTGTGAGTTCTTTTCTGGAAAGAAGGTAAAGAGATATCTCAGCCTTGCAGACAGAGAAAGATGGAAATCAGGTGGTGGGATTGGTTCCTGCTCCCTCCAGCTGTCCTAGTTCCCCAGCAGAATTTGCTGAATGACTCACAAGCTCCTATTTGCAGGCTTGAAGCTGAAATTGGGAGGATTATATCTTAATGTGCTAAAGTAGCAGCTGCTGCTCCCCATGGAGGAGTCACAAGCATGTCACTTGTCCCTGCAGATCCTCTGGCCTCTGTCAGAGGGCAGAAAGGGTTTGTTTGGGCACAGCCATTCCTGCTGGGGTGACTTCAGGGCTTCTTCATGTGTGAAACAAATCTCCTCAGTGCAGGCAGGAGAGTGGCTTGTGTTTGTAGGATGCTTTTCTGCAAATCACCTCTTAATGTATTTGTGTGAGCAAACGGCTTTTGCTTTTTATGAGTAGCCTATAGCAAACTGTGTGATGTATAAGGCAGTCCCAACATTTCTCTCAAGTTCTTCCCCAGAATTTACAGGGATTCTTGGATTTGTTTGGGACAGGAAGAAGAGGAGTTCCCTTTGTTTTTTCCTATAATGTCTGTATAGCAGCAGTGCCTTGATGCTGGATGGTGCTGTCCAGCCCTGCCTGTGCTCAAGGAATTGATGGTGTGCAGCCTTAAAACATGATGCCAAGTGAATGAATCCATAGTGCCTGTGGGCTCCTGGTCCCCATGGGCATCAGTGATAGGGGATCTTGGGGAGATGTTCCCTCAGCTTCCTACTGCAGTCCAGCCAGAAGCCACCTAAAGATGCCAGCATGTGTTCTGGGCAATCCCAGTGCTGCTTGCAGACCAAGTGTTTTAGCCAAGCTGGCAGGAGCCAAAGGCCCAGATCAGGCTGAGGAAGTTCCCTTTGCTGTTGGTGATGTTTGGAGGGTAGCTGCACTTAGCTGCAGTAGTGTGGCAGCCTTCCCTGGCCTCTGCTAATAATATCTCCCAGTGCTGCACTGGGGATGACTCAATCTCCCTGTTATGTAGGTTGCTGATGGTGTATAAGGACTTCTGTGAGAAATGTGTTTTAATAAAAAATCAAGGCTTGGTGAGAAGAGGGCGCCTACAAGCTTAGTTGGCAAACAGCTAGTTTTGCCTCTGGTTGATTTTGTTCTTTGTAGTGCTTCTTTAATTATTTACAAAAAGCTTTGGTTTTTAATGATTCCTGTTTCTTTTTCCATTCTGTTTGTCTGTCTTTGCTTGTGGTACATGTAGCATTGCCTGTAGGCCAAGGTTGGCTTTAGTTAGGGAAGTACCCATTGGCATGGGTAGAATTGAGGAGATTTTACAAAAAGAAGAAAATGCTGTGGAAAGCATACAGCCAGCAGCTGGAGTATCTAATATCTCCTCCTCCAGTAAATTGAAGCTGTTATGGATTATTCAGGACAGGGATTATCCATTCTCTGCTAAGCAGCTTTACTGAAAATATCAAAGATGTAGGAGAAAACTCAGGTTCATTAACTTTTCTCCTGTATATGTTGGTGATTTTACCCTCAGCTTTATTTCCAATTGAAGAGAAACTTCTGTGAAAGCCTCTTGGTTCCTGAAGGAGGTCAGAGTGTGGAAGTGTACACACTTCTTGTGTGCCTTTCTTGCTTGATAGTTTGGAGTTTGTTTGCTTTCTTTAGTGAACCCTTTGCACTGGTGTTAAGAGTAGCAGCTTTATGCTTTTTTCCTTTCTCTTCTTGTTTTTCCAAGGAAAGGGTTATTCATGCTGTGTCAGTGTACAGGTGTTACACTTCATAGCCATTGAGAGTGTTGTTGCCAGCTTGGCCTCTGAGGAAACACTTCATGGGCAGCCACTTCCACTTAAAATGAGGCTGTGTGGATTTGCTTTGTAGATCCTGATATGATTGGCATTAAAAGGTGAATGTGGAGTGTGAAGGTTCTGTGTGGCTTCTCTTTGTGTGCAAGAGCCATGGCAGAGGGGACATGATGTGTAGGAGGAATATCAAACCGAAGCAGCACAATCACTGGTGCCCTTAAAAGTTTGCAAAGAACCAGAAGTGTGAGAGGCCTGCCCTGCTCCCTGCTAGTTGATTTGTGTACTGTGAAAGATGATGGCATTTGTTGGATGAAACAAATGACAAATGTGGAATGAATGCATTGCTTTGGCTTGCAAGAGGCAGCACTCTGTATTTCCTGCAAAATCTGAACATGGGAGTTGAAAAGGGGGAAGATATGTTGGGCTGCCCAGCCTGTGCAGCAAAGGCTGTCTTTCCTTGCTGCAGTTTTCTGAATAGTGGAGATGTGTCGTATGAGCAGAGGATGTGGAGCCAAGGATTCCTGTGTCCCACTCCCTGTTGTAGTGGTTCCAGAAGTCCCATTGTGACTCTGTGTCCTAATCTGAGGAGAGTCCCCCTAAACCTATGTCTTTCAGTTCGTGAAGGGAGGGGAGTCCATCCCAAGGAATAAAAGATTGAGCTGACTTTCTCTAGGTGTTTTTAGCCCTTATAGCTCCTGTCAACTTGGGTTCAGAGGTCCTGAAAATGAACCCCACCATGTCTTTGGAGCCTTGTGGGGGTAAAAGCTTCTCTGGCTGCTTCCCTTTGGAATATGAATCTAGGGGTTATATTGTTTAAATCTCAAAGATAAGCATAAATGTCTGTATTTGGTTTTGTTCTTACAAAGGTGTTCTAGGCCATTAACCAATCTCAGGTGTAGCTCCTTTGGCGGGCTTGGAGCTCAGTACATTACAGTGCAGGTAGGGAGAGCTTGAGGCTATAGGATTTAAATGGAGGGGAATGTTCTGGAGTGTTAATCTAATGGTGCAAACCTCACTCTGCTGGGAAGTGACTGGCTCCTCCCTCACCCCATTTCCCCCAGGGCAGCTTGAAAGCTGCTCCCAGCAGCACTGATGTTGCACTAATACCGGTGTTCAGACCCACAGCAGCCAGCCAGGCCATGCAGGCCTTTCATTGTGGCAGGCACAATACAGGGATTTGCTGTTTGTTGCTGCTGACAAAAGGGCACTCAGGCGGGTGGGGGATGCAGGGAGCCAAGGCTTGTTTACACCCCAGGTCCCCCAGCAAGCCTTGCCATGGAGCTCAGAGGGGAATTTCTGTGTGCTGCAGCTTGTGGTGGGCAAAAAGCTGCTTCAGCGGTGGCTGTTCTGGGGGTGACACCCAGTGGTGACACACAGGGGAAGCCACTTTGCTCTAAGGGCTGGTCTAGAGCCGGTTCTGTGCAATGAGCCAATGAGCCAGGTGACTTCAGCCAGCCTCCAAGTCTTTCAATGGCTCTGCCTTTGCTGAGCTGCTTAGAATTCAAACTGCCCTGGCTTTTTGGGATTTTTTTGGGAGGAAGCAGGGAAGGGATCCATTGAGAAGGTGTGGCAGGGGTTCTTTTGCTTCTCAGTATCACAATATATTTGCAAAGGAGTTGGGACTGGTTGTTAAACCATCTTGTACTCCTTTTCTGAAGGTTTGATCTACATCCTTCTGAATTCATAGGAGTGCATCCTTGGATGAGAGACAGGGATGCATGTATACATGGTGGGAGGTAGTAGTGAAGCTGAAGAAATTACAAAATACATATGGCAAATGGAGTAGAAACACATCTGGGGATGTTTTCACAAACTCAAGGTGCTGGGAGGCAGAAACATTTGTTAATTTTCAGTGGTGTTTTGTATTTCTAAATCCCTTTGGTGCACTGGGAGCTCTCCTCCTTCTGTCTGTGGTTTTGTGCAGAAATTACAACACATTCCTGAACAATCCAGTTAACAATTCCGTTATTCTCATTATCCAATGGCCTTTTTCTCTTTTCCTTGCCCAGGGGCTGCAGTGAACCTGACTCTAGTGACACCAGAAAAGGCTATCAAACTGGCAGCCAATGACTTCTTCCGGTATCACCTCTCCAAAGATGGGTGAGTAGGGAATTGACCTTCTGCAGTCAGCTTGAAAGACACCGACTCTTGCAACACGTCTGGTGAGACATCAGGAGAAGGTGGAATGGGACAGTGCAGTGACTGAAATATGAGTTGACCTTGAACAGCTCAGCTGGTGATTACGTTCAGGCTAAGGATGCAATGTCTAAAATGGGAAGCATGAAGCACTCCACTGGATGACTGCTCTTTACTCAAGCTTCTAAAAATAGTCCCAGATTTAAGCCAAGGTTAGCAGATCCAGAATGTGTAGTCTAAGTATTTGAGAGGAACCCAATGTCACTGATCATTGCTCAAACAGCTGCTGGGAGGACTCTTGTCCTCAGCATCCGATTGGATCCTCTCATGCTCCTTCTGGCTTGAAAAGGTATCAAGTCAAGTTCTGTAGACCCCAAACTTAGCACCCCTCTTCTCCTTTTGTACCTTGAAAATAGTTGTAGAGAGGTGATAAATCTGAATTAACTAAGGGCACTTGCAGCAGCTGACCTTCAAATAAATGCTGAAGGACTAAAATTACTGGTTCAGCTTGCAAGTGGAGTTTGGTTCATGTGAATTAAATGTGAGTAAAAGGCATAAGCTAGAGCAGTTGAGAGGAGCTGGATCCTGAATTTTTAATGCTGCTTTCACCAAGATGTTTCCAAATTGCATGAGAATTAGTTGTGTCTCCCATCAGAGAGGCCTTTCCCCAGAGGCAGGCAAGGGCATTGTCTCCAGTCCTCAGTGACAGTAGCTAAAATAACAGCCTGGTTGGGATATGATCCCAGCAATTCCCATTAACAGTAATGGGGTGGGGCCTCAGTGAAAATGCAAAGCTCCAGCACAATTACTGGGCTTAACAATTTCCCAAAACAAATCACGTCAGTCCTGGCTGCTGCAGATCAGTGCCTCAACAACTTCAGTGGACATTGTAGACTGAGAATTGAGATTGATAATCCATTTTTTCTCTGTACCTTTTCTTTCTTTTTTTTTCTTTTGTTCTGGAGTCCTTTAAAGTAGCAGCTAACATATGTCTGTGTGACTCATCGGCTCACAGCTCTTCGTGATTTTCTGACTCAAGTCTTTGAATAGTGTCTCTTCTGTGCTCTGCTCAGACAGTGGGAGGTAGTGATGTCCTCTACCAAGTGCTGTGTCTCATTCCTGCAGCAGACAGCCCAGCACACCTTGGTGTACTGCAGTAAACAGCAGCTCTTTGCTACCACCTACAAAGTGGGGGCTTAGTGGCCTGTACAGGCCCAAAAAGGTGCCAAGCTGCCACACCTTGTACTGCCACTAAGGGAATGGTTCCATGGAAGAAATCAGACTAGCATTGCAACATATTTGGCATTCTGGGAGAGCAATCACTGCTGTGATGTCTCAGCCATTAAAAGGGGATATGCCTGTCAGTCAATGTCCTGCACCAAGAGGTTAAGGCTTCCTCAGAAGACCAGTGTGTGTTTGCCTCAGTGCTGAGTCCAGCTTTGATCAGGTCTTTGGGTAAGTGGGGTGCAGCTGTTTCCATGAGCAGCTGAGGTTTTCACTCAGACCTCTTCCAGTTTGACTCTTGAGTCACTGGCTGGTGCACACATGACATAGATGATATATTGCACTTAATTCAGAATAAAGGAGCTAGAAAATTGTTCCAAGAGCAAGACACCTGATCTCCTAAATCTTACATCCTGATGGGTCTGGCACTACAGTGACCTAGAGCAGGAGCATGATACCACCCAGGTAGCGGGCGGTCTTTGTGTCTCAATACAGAGCATTTTAGTTCCTTTAGAGAAAAGAGACATTGGGCCACAGTTAGGTAACAAGAGCACCCAGCAGCATGTGGAATCAGTCACTCATCTCATTTAACCACCGTGAGGGGCTTGGATGAGTGAAATCTGGTTAGCTGTGCTCTTGAGGGTAACCAGTGTGAGCTGGACAGAGAGGCAGAGCCTTGATGATTTAAGGTATTTCTACCTAGAAACATCACTGCAAAATATGATGGGAAGAAAAATACCTTGCAGGTTTGCTGTGTCTGGTACAGGCTATGAATGTGGGATCTGGTAGTTTTCTCCCTTGGGATGCTTCTGTCCCATCCTTGGTAAGATGGGACAGGATTAGCAGTGCTGGAATTTAAAGGCCTTTCCCACCCAGGACCCAATAGGGTGCATACCTGCTGGCACATCACAGGGCTGGGCCACCTATTTCACAATTCCAGCCAAAGCCTACTTATGAACAACAAAATAGCTTGGGGTTAGACAGGTGAAGCCTGGAGCTGCCTGGCACATGAATATGGTTTCATTTCTTGATCTGTAATTGCATGAGTCAAGGTGATACATTGGGCAAAGCACAGTGAGGGGGTTAGGATCAGTGTAAGGCTGGATCAGCAAGATCTTGGTTCAGCTCCCTCAAAATCCTTTTTGCACAAACCAGTCTGTCTGCTGTGTATTTTCATAGATGCTGTGCCTTTAGGTCAGTATCCCAAAGGATGCTCTGACTCAAAGCTGCAGAATTCTTCTAGGCCTGTTTACATTGAATGCCTTTGTGCTAAGCATGTAGTACTTGTCTTGCCTGAAATAATGTTGCACAAGTTGGTAATCCTTTTGTTATAAAATATGCATGTTCTACCAGTATTTGCTGATTAAAATATGTGGTATTAAAATAGACCTCAATGTGCAAGAGGAGGAAGCACGTGTGGACCAGAGAGAGCGTGGCAATTCCAGCATGACTCAAAGTAGCCTCAAGTTAAACAACAGCTTTCAGTGTGCATTAATGTATTTATTTTTATCCTTTGAAAAACTTTGTGTTGAAATTGCTTTTAAACTGCCAGGATAAAAAAGTGGCATAAAGCCTATTTTTGAAAGGCCAGACTGAAAACAGCACCTGTGGTGTAGGAAGCTCCTGACTGCGCATTGCTGGAAGAGTATTTTAGGGATGTTATCACTACAGGTTTGTGCTAGACTCCTTTTCCCCTGACACATCCTCTGCTCTTGGACACTGCTGGGGGTAGAGCACTGGGGCAGCAGGTCCTCACAGGGGATCTCATGTCCTTGTTGGTGGAGCTCTCTCCTGAGTGTGCAGGTGTGTGTTCCTACAGCTCTCTCCAGCCTGGGGCTAACTCAGGGAGGCACTCCTGCCTGTACCATGCTTTTCCCCGCCTTTTGGTTGTAGGGAGCATGTGTGCTTACAGCCTGGAGGACGTTATTTCTGCTTCTTGGCCAGTTTCTATTTCTTTGCCAGTTTCTGTTTTGATGTCAAGGCCATTATGACAGCCTACAGCTACAGCTTTTTTGTTTTCTCAAGAAACAAAACTGAGTTGGTCCTTCCAAGCTGCCCTGGTCATTTAGGAGTGATGAAGGCCTGAGTGAGTTGTGTGAGTGCTGAAGACATGCTTGCTATGCTGTGGAGGAGAGGAGGGAGACCAAGATACTGAGAAACCTGAAGGGCACTCCATGACCATCATTGACAAAGGTGATACGGTCAAGTGATTTCCTGTGACGATTTTGACCTAAGAGCTTCTGTAATTACCAGGAGAAGGTGGCCCACAGAAGAGTCTCCAGGCAGGCCTTTGTTCCTGTGTCTTTCTGTGGGGAAGAGTTTTCACTAGGCTGGGGAAGGCAGAATGTGGAGAGAGGGGAAACCAGGTCTTCAGGCTGCTGGAAACAGATGGGATTTTTTAAAACTGGCTTTTGAAGCTGCATGTGTTGAGAGACTCAGTTTCATGGCTGCTGTTAAAATAGGAGTGGCTTCATTGTCCAGAGCAGAGGATGTGAGGAGTCACCAGGGCTAACTGAAGTGCTTGACTATGAAGCACTTAGGTATGAAGCTGAGAAGGCAATTTAGATTGATAGTACACCAGCATTTAAAGTACATCATTGATTATTGGGTACTCAGTGTGTGAGGCCTCTTTGATTGATTTAAGTATTACCTGCTTTTTATATCCTCTTTGAATCTGGGTGTTAAACATTTCATAAACCAGTTCCTTTAAAGTGCTCTACAAAGTTTTGTGTTTGTTTCCAAAGTGTGGAGTGCCAGGTAGCTGTTTTGTTGGGTATGTGTTTGTCAGGTTTTGTTCATTTTTCATGTTCTTGGTTAAATATTCTGCCTTGGCTGCAGTAAAGTGTCTCATGCCTTCTTACATAAGCAATTTGTTGCTCATAAAAACTTTCCAGTGTCCCTGGAAGAGAGTTTCCTGCTGCTCTTCTCCAAGGTGTTATTCCCTTACTCATCCTGTCCTCTTTAATCTTTACCTTTATTTTGTTTGTTTTCTGAAGCAAAGGCTGGCAATCTGCTGTCTTAGCAGCTCAAATTCCTAGGAAGACCAGCATGACTGACTTAATTCTGCCTCTGCTGATGCTAGAAAATTTTCTTCTATTCTGCTTCCTCTTGTTTTGTATCTTTGCACAGGGAAGAGAAATAGCCAACTGGGGACAAGCGAGGTATTTTTCCTTCAGTCTTATGCAGTTGTGGAGACTGGAGCTTGCTGTCCATTGCCTTCCCAAGGGATCTATCTCCCCAGGGCTCTTTCCTTCATCTGCTCTCCTTTCAGGCTCTCCTGAAATACTTGGACCATCTCTTCTATGGCAAGAGTTTAAGTATCTGTTGCATGGCTTGGATGATCCTTGAGCTGCAGAACACTCTTAGGCTGTAAAGTGAGGCTTTCAATTTAGGAAGAAGGAGTGCTGCTGCTAGTCCTGGTGCTGAGCTGTTGTATCACCCTGCACAAGACTGTGCTTGGTCTTTCTTTGGCACTTGTGTGCCCAGGCAGCCTCTCCTGCAGTTATCCATTGGATCCTCAGACACTTCTTTAGTGTAGGTAGCCCTCATCCAACTCACTGAGACTTGGAACTGGGGAAATCTCTCCCTTCCCCTTGAGAAGGAGACAGGAGCTGATCATGTCACTGTGCCAATTCAGGAACAGCTGTTTGGGGAGAGCTCTTTTAGCACACAGAGGCCAGGCAGTTGCAGTGGGTTGAAACTGTTGACATCAAAGGTCAGCCAAAAAGTAAATGCACTTTCAACTGTTAATCTGGAGGGAGATAGAGATGTGCTGTTTAATCACAGAGTGCACCCATGGGAGGAGCATTGTCCTTGTCATCATTCCAGGCACATGTCTTGGGATGAAACATGGGTTGTGTCTGTGTTCAACATGCTCAGTCGTGTTACCCTGTCCATTGTTCACTTCCACAAATGTTCACATAGGAACAAAACACTTGGAATTTCCTGCCAGGGCAAATCTGATGCAGGTAAAGAGTCAACCTCCTCTTGACTTAGTCCAAACATGCAACACAGAACTCCTGTACATTCCTGGAATAATGGCTTCCAGATCAACATTTAATCTGGCATGTTACTTTGAGATGTATCTGTTCCACATCAGTACTTTATTTGGCTTGTCTGAGGCATTTTTGAGCTGGCACTAGAAGTGAGAGGGAGCTTGTAGTGAGAACTGTATTGCTTTTACATTTCCAGCATCGTAGCTCCAGCTTTTCTGAGGTGCAGTTGCAGTAGCTTGTTCCCCCTTGGAAAATCGGGGGTTGGATTAAAGGGCAGTTTGTGTGCACATCCCCCTGTGACTGTGGCAGAGAGGGAGCTCTTCCTTTGAAGGACAACTCCTGTCTGCTGGTCTTCTAATCCATATCAAAGACCCACAATGTGAATTGTTTGAAAGGAACTGGCTCTGTCTGCTTTGAAACTCCTGGGGAGCTTTCTGCAGCCTCTTGGGCTGACAGACAGAGGCAGGGGTTATTTTATGAGTGAGGAAGGTGATGTCCAAGATGGGGACAGTAGCCTTTTGGGTAGGAAATAAAAATGGATTGCTTTGAATGGATGTTTCTTTAGCTCAGAGATTTCCTCTCTGGAAATGTTATCCTGATTGCAGAATGGCTGGTTCTGGTCCCTGCCCAAACACAGTAAATTCCCACATGGTCAAGATTCTGAGAAACTTGAAAAAACCCTACACTGCTCCCATGTGACATCAATATATCAATGCTGTCAGAGATCCTAACTTTGAATTGATTGCTCCCCAAAAGCTTTCCATAAACCTCTAGTTCCTGTTTTTTCACTTTGTTTTTCAGCTCTAGTTTGAAACTCTAATTTAAATCAAGCATGTATCTCCTCGCCTTCCTATTTGACATTTTTGACTTGTCACAAATTAATAGTATGTCAGTAAAAAATGTAGAACAACTGATTTCTGCCAGCGCAGAATTTGAGGCTATTGTGTATATGTTATATTTAACACTCCCTTGCTGTGATAAAAGATGGTTTCTGGATTTGTAGGATCAGATCTTTGCTGGTGTTGCAGCTTTTGAAGTTAGTTCAGATGTGCTGGTTTTTAAACCACTGGGGATAAGGCCAGTGGTGCCTTAAATATTTAAACTCCTTTGTTGTGCAGACATGAACAGTTTTCAAACTTTCCTTTTATGTGCAGACTGGTGAGGTTTTGCAAAGGCAGTTTGACCCCTGTATGGCAGCTTTTAAACCTCCTGTCAAAAGATTTGCTTATCCTAAGCTACTTTTTTTCTTGGACTCTCCCCAGTTCCCAGGATGTGCAAACCAAAAGCTGAAAGTCCTTGTTTTAGATGCTTTTGATGTATCTGTTTGACATCTCCCAAGTACACCCACATGTGTAAATCCTTCCTTGGGCCATACTGGCATAGCTCCATGGAGTTCTGTCAAGTCATGGCTGACTTTAGTTGGCTGGGATAATGGTCCAAGATGAATATGTAGGCCAAATCTTTCCTGATCTTTTGAACTGGTTATCAAAGCAGTCACCCTGGCTGGAAGCCAGAAGATATGTACTCTAGGGATGCTCCAGGGCTCTTGCTAAAGTGGGAGATGCTCTGCTGTGCCAAGGAGAGCTTCTGGCAGCCAGCTCCTTTGGGTGGTTTGCTTCCTCCCACAGCCAGGCTGGGGACTGTACAGCCATGCTGCTGACTGTATCAAGCCACTCAGAGACTGGTGCTGTGCTTCAGGCCACCCAAAAGGCACAAGTTGGCCACCTCCAAGTGGCAGTGGCAGTGGGAACCTCTGGATTTGCACACCCTAGGTCCCCCACACCTCCAGGAAAGCCTGCTGTGCACACTTCAGCACCTGTGTGGGTAACTCCGTGGGAGGGATTGTTCTTTGCAGTTCCTCATCTGTGGGGAAATTTGGAAAGGAGAGACTGAAATATTCCTTCTTTCAGCCTTATAGAAGAGCTCTATATTTAGTCACTGGTAATCTCTGTTGTGGCTCTGTGCCTTTAATCCCCTGCTCTCATATCCTCTCCAGAGAAGATGAGAGGTGAAGAAATGGGCCCAGCTTACGTGGTGGGCCAGCAGGATTACTGTGCATCTGCCCTCCCTTTCCTGTAGGGCTGGCAATGAAACTGCTTTGCTGGCCCACTGCCCCACAGCTGTGCTCTGTGTGTGCTTGGGAAACCCCTGGCAGGGAGTGTGCCTGGGCTGTGCAAGGGAGTGGGGAGTGTCACTGTGGGACTGCTTCTGCCACAGCCTGGGGATGTGCCTTGAGCAGGTTAAGATGAGGTATTGCTGCAGAGCAGGGCTGGGGGAGGTAAAAATGGTACTTGCATTTAAAACAGAAAAAAGAGGAGGCTGTTTCTCTCTGGCTGTGTGATTTATACACACATCTTTTTTAAACCCTTTTAGGAAAGAGCAGGTCAGGTGTACTTTTTAATCAAGTCTGTGTTTTCTGGTGCCAAGGTGTGAGATTTTTTTACAGGGCAAAACCACATCACTTTCTGAAAATCTTATGAGGTTTTGTATCGTGAATTCCTCTTTTTAGCCTTAGCTGGGCTCTTTCATAGTTTTGGAATGGAGGGAATGAAATGCTGCATTTTGCTGCATGAGAACATGTTGCTGATAGTCCCTGCTCTCTAGTGCAGAGAATACACAAATCTTCATTGCTGGAGGTCCATCCCATCCCTTGTCTCTCAGGGAGAACCAGTTTAGTGCAAAGGCTATTTGTTTAGGTTTGGAAAACCTGGTAACATGAAACAGCTCCTAACCACAGAGGAACTGCCTCCCTGATACATATTCACTCTTTATTTACTTTGCTTTTCTCAGAGAACTCCAAAGCAGCAAGATTAATATTTTCCCTCCTTGTTCCTTGTCCTGTGGTCTGTGTTTGTTGACAATTTTTAAAGGACTACGCTGGCAGGAGGAAAGCTGCTTATCTCCCGTAATGCTCAGGTCCTCTGCTGCCCTCTGAAGTGATACCCTTTCTGAAAGCTGTGCCCTGACCAGGGGCACCATCAGCTTAGAAGAAGCTGCAGTGCTGTGTCTATGGGTGGAGGAGGCTGTGTGCTCCTGTTTGGGGCTGTTCTGATGGGGCTTGTGGCTTTTCTGAATGTTCTGTTTCTGGGGACAAAATGAGTCTGTTTTCCAGGTCAGGTGGTGCTGGGAGAGATGCCAAGCCAGGGTTGTGCTGAACTGTCAGGCCTAGCAGGTTCTGCTGTCCCCTTGGCTGCCTTTCCTGTAACCCCCAGCTGGCCAAGGGGCCTCGAGCCTTGTACCCAGCTGGCCAAGTGTTATTCCAGGCCACCTCCTCTGATGACTCTCTCTCTTTTCTTTGGGCAGGAAAAAGCTGACACTGCTGAGGGAGATGCTGGCAGGCTGTGGTGCAGGTACCTGCCAGGTGATTGTCACCACTCCCATGGAGATGCTCAAAATCCAGCTGCAGGACGCAGGACGCATTGGTATGTGGCCTCTTCTTCTCTGTGCCCTCAGCAGGGAGAGGGGAAGGAGCTGGGGCTGGGCTTTCAAGGCAGAGCTGAGAGGAGGAGTGGAGAAAACCCTTTTCCCTCCCCCTGCTCTCCCACGTCAGAGATACCACAGATGTAGCAGGTTTCTCCTCCTCCTCCCAGCTTCCTTCCCCCCGCACTTTGCTCAGCTGGCTTTGCAGAGGCCCTTGCAGTTACAAAAGGTGGTGGGGTTTTTTGCTCAAAGCAATAGGCTTGGCAAACAAAACAGCAAATGCTGTTGGTAGAGAGACAGGAGAGATGACTGGGTGGTGAGCTTGTGGGTGATTCAAACCTGGTAGATCCTGTGCACCCAAAAGGAATTAACATCCTCCAGTGCCTTTCCTGTGCTGCTTCCTCCATCTCTGTGTTTTCTGATGTCTGTTTGTAACACCTCCCTAACAGCTTCCCAAGGGGATATGTTATTTTCAGATGACTTGTCTCCCCTTGTACTCTTTTTTCCTCTCTGACAAAAACAGCAGTTGTCTTGGTTGAAACAGTAAATAAAATTCTCCCAGTGCACTGGATTTGAACGAGATTTGGGATCAGGCTCCTGGGACTGTGGGCGTGAGCTGGCAGGCAGCAGAGGCAGGAGGGAGTGTGAGCCTTTTGGCTGAAACACTGTGGAGTGTTTCTGGTGAGAGCAGAGACCAGAGTCTGGCATGGAGACTCCAGGGGAAAGAGCTGCTTGCTCCTTCCTTAGTTTCTTCCAGAGGTCAGTCTGGGCTGTGGCCCCACTTCCCAGGAGCCCTGCATGACACTGTTAGATACCATGTTTATGGCCCTTCCTGGAAAACGGGCCAATTTGTCCTTTAATCTCTCATTTGATGTGGCATTCCTGAATAATCACGGATTTACTTTTTCTTTTCTCTCTTCACTGGTTTTACTGCAGACCTGATCCTCTTTGTGCGTATTATTTTAAAATGTTGGAAGGATTTAATCCGTGGTTTGAGGGTTCAGGAGAGGTTTTCGATGCTGTGAACAGTCTGTACTCTGTGTGGCAGGAGAGCTGTGGTGTGCCAGGATTACTTACAGAGTGAAGTGCTCTCCATCTTCTGGCCACAGGGCCGAAGTGCAGCAGTTGGAAAAGTGGGAGGAACCAGGATGTGTTTAGAAATGTGACTGAGAAACTCCCCAGGTTAATGATTGCTTTCCGGGGAGGGAGGCAAAGAACAGAATTTGGGGAAAACTGTCTCGTTTATGAGCATCTTGTTTGTTACACTGGCAGCTCAGGGACACACCTGGAAGCAGGGACTGTCCCCTGCCTGCTCACAGCACCCCCTGTTCTCTGCACTGCAGAGATGGTGTGGGACAGGCTTGGGCAAACCGGCCGGTGGGAGAGCGCAGCCGACAGCCCTGTGCTGTGGCAGCACTGCCAGCGACTGGCACAGGCTGAGGGAATGGGCACACTGGGGGACAGGCTGGCAGGGCACCTGCCTGGCCTTTGTGTGCGTGTTGTGCTGCCCCTGTGGCTCCGTGTCCCGCGGCCTGGGCAGCGGGAGGCTGCTGTGGGGCACGGGCGGCAGGAGGCTGCTGTGGGGCAGGGCAGCAGGAGGCTGCTGTGGGGCACAGGCAGAGGGAGGCTGCTGTGGGGCATGGGGTACCAGGAGGCTGCTGTGGGGCACCCACAGACCGGGGCTGGCGCTCTGCTCCCCAGAGGCACAGAGGAAGCTCATGGCGGCGCAGGGCCAGCCCTCCTCCTCCCCCGCGGCGGCCAAGCCGGCTGTGGAAAAGCGCCCCACAGCGACCCAGATAACCAGGGAGCTGCTGCGGAGCAAAGGCATCGCCGGACTCTACAAGGGCCTGGGAGCCACGCTGCTAAGGTAGGATGGCTGCTAAGGTAGGATGGCGCGGGCTTGAGCACAGGGCACTGGCATCCCCAGCCTTGGGCCTGAGGCACCACCCATCCCGGGGATGAGCCTGGAAAGGAGATGTTGACTTCAGTGGGTGTGGGCTTGGTTTAGTTCGTTTTCCATGCACAGGTTTAGTACATTAAAGAAGGAAAGGTCAGAGAAGTGATGGAGGGTATCTTTTTTTTCCTGTAAGATTTAATTCTGCTGCTTTCTTTGAAAGGTTTTTGTGTGCCCCATGATCTGTATTTTCACACTGTACAGAAGTCTGTGTGAGCTGGCAGAGTAAAACTGTCAGCCTGAGACCCCAGGGTGTGCAATGGGAGCTGGCCACAGAGCGTGTTGATGCAAGGACTGATGCCTGCTCTGACACTCTTTGCCTGCGCTTTCACAGTGTCGCTCTAGCTTTAACAAAGGTAGAGCTAAAGCAGCACCCAGGGCAATGGAGGGCAGGATGGGACCTCTTGTAATTAACAAAAGTGGTCAAAACAATTGACCTCTGAATGTGCTGGTGTCTTTGGTTTGAGTGTTGGAGAAAAGGGGGAGCCCACTGATCCTGCAGGGCTACATGCCTCCCATAGGCCTGTTGTCCTTTGTGCAGTCACTTTTGCCCCACTGCGTTTCAGCTCCTGTCTGCACTGCAGTCACAGAGCCAGGATACTTGCATTGCACTCGTGGCTGTGCTGACAATGTGTGATGCTTGCAGCCCTTCCTTTGCTCAGTTTGTTGGTGTCCTGTGCTGACTTCGCTCATCCTTGCTCTTTCTTCCTTTTTTCCTGCCCCACTGCAGGGATGTCCCATTCTCCATTGTTTACTTCCCACTGTTTGCAAACCTGAACAAGCTGGGCCAGAAGGACCCCAATGTCAAGGCTCCGTTCTACGTGTCCTTCCTCTCTGGATGTGTGGCTGGCAGTACGGCTGCAGTGGCTGTCAATCCTTGTGATGGTGAGTCCTGAGCAGCCTGTGCTGGTGGCCTGGTGCCAAGTGACAGGACTCAGAGGCCCAGGCTGGGCCAGGTGAGAGGAGGGTGACTCTGCCAGCCTTTTTGCAGCATGAGCACACAGAAAGGGACAGCTGTGCTGCCTCCAGCTCTGATGGTGTGAGTTCAGCTGAGTTACAACATGGGCCACAGCTTACACACTGGTTTGCAGTACTTACTAGGTATGTCAGGAAGAGAGTGTCACTGATTTCCCATATTCTTGGCAGGAAAGGCACATTTCCATGTGAGGCAATAATATGCAGACCAAGTGGACTTAAAATTGTCTGGAACAAACAGGGGAAGCTTCAGATCTGTGGCCTTTTCTCCTGCTCCACAGCAACTGCCTTAAGTACCACCTTGATTTCTCTCCTGTGAAAAACACCAGAAAGTAATTGCTCTTTCCCCAACACTGAACATGCTCCAAGGTGTGAAGAAATGTAGGAGTAGAATTATGTGTTTTAGATGCCTCTTCCTGAAGGAGATGAGCTATTGAAAATAAGTTCCCACTTTGCTGAGACGTATCTGAATTTGGAAGGTTTAAAGCTTAAGTCAGCTTTTGAAACCTTGATCACAAGGAGGGAGGGAGGGGTTGGTTTTGGGTGGCTTTGTGTTTCTTTTATCCATATGTAAAGGAATGGGTTTGTTTTCCCTGATAAATGTATGAAAATGGTCTGTATTCTAGGCAATTTTGTTCTGACCATTTCAAAGACATTACTCTCCTGCCTGCTACACCTCCAGTGCTCAGCGGTGTCTCCCCTCTCTTTCCCCCAGTGATCAAAACGCGGCTGCAGTCCTTGCAGAGAGGAGTCAATGAGGACACCTACTCGGGGATCCTGGACTGCACCAAGTAAGGCTCCTCATGGCAGAGCCACCACATCAGGCTTTTGGCCAGGCAGGCAGGGCAGCTTCTAGACCCAGCCAGAAGCTGTGCTTCATGTTCCCTCTGTCCCTGTGCTTCTATCAATCTATCTGTCTATCTGGAGATATAGAGATATGAGCAGATGTATAAATATAGTTTTATAAAAGAGAACTTCTTCCCATATTGAGCAAGAAAAATATAGCATTTATATTTAAATACTTCTGTCCAAACCCCAGTAGTCATAACACTGAGATTTTATTTCTGCAAAGGGAGGCAATGTTGTAGTCCCTCCCAAGGCCCCACTGTTGGAAAATCCTACAATACTGAGTCTCATATCCCTCCTGGGACTGCTCTGCACAGTGTCTGCAGAAGCACTGCCAGAGTGTGCTGTCCCCAGCTGCATTATCCTCTGATCCTTTGCTAAACTATGGTCTGGCTGCTTCAAAACACAAAGGGACTTCTCTGCTTTTGTATTCCAGTGGTAGCCAGAATCTGTTGTCATCTGGCTCTGTCCCGTGCTGAGGGAGCTTTTGAGCAGGGGGATCGCTCGATGCAAGCATGGGGTTATGTTAGCTGTACTTCTGGACACGAGCAAGGATGCAGGGATGGGGCAAGTTCCTGCATGGCCACTTGCAGAGCACTTGGGCAGTGATGGGAGATTTGCTGTGGGGGCTGTGCCAGGCAATAGAGCTTGCCTGAGTTTAGTCTCTGGAGGGAGGTGGAAAGGCAGGGCACGGCCAGGGGCTCTCCTGGCACGGTGGAGGGGTGGAATGGACACTTACCTGTCTGTGCCATTTCTCCCCAGGAAGATCTGGCAGAGGGAAGGGCCCTTGGCCTTCTTCAAAGGGGCCTACTGCCGAGCCCTGGTGATTGCTCCTCTCTTCGGCATTGCACAAGTGGTGTACTTCGTGGGCATCGCCGAGTTCCTGCTGGACCTGCTCCCCAGGCGCCGGGCCTAGCCCTGCGGGGCTGCCTGTGCCTGCCCCGTGCAGCGCCGGATCCATCCCCGTGTTTGCCATCCCTGTCCATCCGTGTCACAGCAACAGCACAAAGGCTTCGGCAGGGCTGCAAGGGACCTGGGGCCCGCGTGGGCAGACTGGGGAGGGAGAGAGTCCCTTCCCTGCCGCCTCTGGAACCCGCCCCTCCCGCTCCTTCCATGGACAATACTTAATTATTCCTCTCTCTCTCTCTCACTCACTCTCTCTCTTTTTAATTTCCCACTTTTTGGTTTTAAATTGTCATTCTTAAGGACACTGGTAAGCACAGACTGGGCTTGCAGACCCAGAAATCTCCTCTCAGTCTTGGGAAGGAGGAGAGATGGGAAAGTAATAACTTCAATCCTCATCCACTCGAGTTTCCCTTTCTACCTGGAGCTGCCAGCCATCTGAGGAGGAGCTGGAGGGGCAGCTGTGTCCCCTCAGCGCCTCCTTGGCTCTGCTGACCTCGGGTCAAGAGTGAATGCTGCACAAAGGGGGCTTAACTCATTGCTGCTGGAGGCAGGGGTGGGGGGGATGCTGGCTCTGGCAAGTTCCTTGGCCTGGAAACCTTCAGTCCTCCCTTCTCCCTTTTTAAAAACTAGTTGGACTTAAATGAATTCTGACTGTTCCTATTGATTTTGTAATTATTTTTGTTTTAAAGCAAAGGGACGTCCCTCCTAACTAGGTGTCACAGGCACATCTGGGTGAGGTGCAGAAATAAGGTGTCTGCTCTGTAGGGAACATGTCTGTGGGATCACATGAATGTCCAAAGATGCTTCCCTGCTTGGCTACAGGCATGGAAGGGAGAGGAACTTGGGATCAAGTTATTTTTGTTTCAGGGTGGGGTTTTTTTGTTTGTTTTTTTTTTTTTTTTTTTTTTGTTTTGTTTTGTTTAGTTTGTTTTTGTTTTATTAGTTTGGTTTTTTTGGGGGGTTGTTTTGTTTTGTGGGGATTTTCTTTAGTTCTGTTTTGGTATTTTTTTGGTTGTTTGTTTTTGGTTTTAGGTTTTTTTCTGTTTGGGTTTTGTTTGAGGTTTTTTTTTTATTCAGGGTTGTGGGGAGGAAAAACCAAACAAAAAGAAGCCACTTACATTCCTTCAGCCTGCCCACCCCTAGAGTGATAAAGCTGTGGCTGCAGGTGTAGATCAGCTGATCTGATTTTTTCCCAGCCTGACCCCAGGTGTATGGAAGGAAGCACTGGCTCCAGTTCTGGCACTGCCCAAGCCCATGGAGCAGCAGTAGAAATGCTGCACCTGTGGGCTCACCCTGCCAGGTGAGAACACAAGGTCTGGCTGTGCTCTGATGTTTGCCTTGGGTGTGGCTGGAGCCAGTGGGTGTGCAAGAGGCAGAGGGTTGACATTCTCTGAGCAGGGAGCTGTTTGTGAGCCCCATGCATCACAAGAACATCCTGTTTGCTCCCTGTGGGGATCAGGGCTGGGTGGCAGGGGGCAAATCCACACCTACAGCCTGCTCTGTCAAAGGGACACTGCCCCAGCTAATATCACTTGTCAGGAATTCCTCATTCAGTACTCTCTTGGGCTGTGTGATTAATTCTAGTTGAAATGATCTTAAGTGTGAGATCTACCAACCCAGTGTGATATTCTCCGTTATTTATTCCATTTGGTGCAATCCACCCGACTTTGGTGTTGAAATTAAACTGATTGAATTCACTTTTCATTCCTTCTTTTTGCTTTATTCTCCAGGCGCCTGCTTGGTGTTTGTGTTTTGAATGTGTATTTAAATTAATTTTTAAAATAGCCTTGTTTTTAATGTTTAAAAGAAAACCACCTCTGTTTCACCGTTCTTTGGTTAGGTTTTTGTGAAATGTGTATGTTGGGGGCCTTCTTCCTTGATGCATCCTTTTTCTCTTTGAAAAAGTTGTTCTGTGGCTGATTTGTTACTTGTCACTTCGCATATGTGAATAATTTTCTTTTTCTTTTCTTTTTTCTTAATGACTTCTCTGTGTATCTGGGAAGGAATCTGTGCAAAGGCAATGATAGATGTCTGTGCTGTGTGTAGTGCTGTGATGCTGCTCTTGCTCTGGATTTCCCTTAGGTGGATTAAAAGAGAAAGGTTTATTTTATTTTTTTCTTTAAGGTGCCCCATTCCTGGCTGCTTTTTGATTTACAGGGAGGGTCCCCAAAAGAGACCCTGATGATAAAACCTGTGGGGTTTCAGCTTGCCCTTCTTCCTGCAAGGAATGTCCTGGAAAATGGGTGACTTGTGGCTGCAGGAATGTGTGTGGGGTGCAGGTTTGTATGGTGGGGTTAAGTTTGGAGGAAAATTGGGTGCAGCGAAGGGCTGAGATTCAGGGAAAGCTCTCCTTGTCCTTCAGGATGCTTTTAAAAACTTCTTTGTAAAACTGACTCTTTCTCCTGAAATCTCCAGCTCTTCTTCCACTGTGCAGGAGCTGGTGGCCTAAATGAGGCTGATTTTTGGCTTCCTGGACATGTCCCTGAGCCAGCAGGACTTAGGGAAGTGGCAGAGGATAACACTTGTGGCTGTGCAGGACAGGTACCCCCCTCTCCAGGCAGGCAGGGTCCTGCTTGCAAAAAAAAAAATTAAATGGGAGAATTTCCATCAATTGAATAAATCACTTATTAACTGAAACCACTCTGCACTGATTGCAGCATTGAGGAATGAAAGTAAATAAACACGCCTCGGCTCCCCTCCCTGCAGGTGCTGCTTGTCCCTGGGGCAGGAGCCAGCAGCCAGCACCACTCCTTGTTCTTCCCACTGGCAGAGGCTCCCTCCTCCTACCCGGGCCCTTTCCAGCCTTACCTCATCCATGTCAGCCTTGTCCCCTGCTCCCACCCTCACCTGGCTCTCCTGGCTCCTCTTTGGGTTTCATGGTGTTCACTGCCCTTAAATACATTTTGCTGGATCTGCTGAATGCCCCTCTCCTGGATTCAGGTGCTCAAGCCAGTTCTGGCTTATGGAATTTCCTGCAACAGAAGGATGAAATTTCCTAAAACCCTGGGGGAAAATTCCTGAAAAATAAAAGGAAAAATCCTGGCAACCAAGAGGAGAATTCCTGGAGCACAAAAGGAAACCATCCTAGAAAGCTGAATATCCTGGATAACAAAGGGGACAAGACAATTTCTGTAAGACAATGTAGGAATTTCCATGTGAGAACTAGGGGCAAGTCCTTGAAAACAAAGGGGGAAATATTCAGGGAATTTCTAGAAAGCAATGGGGGAATTTCCTACAAGGCTATAGGGGGGATAACCTAGAAATAAAAGGAGGGAAATTCCATGAAAGCAAGGAGGAAATTCCCTCAAATACCTGGGAAATTCCTGGAAAGCAGAAGTGACATTGTGTAAGAAAGTAACAGTGACATTTCCGAGAGGGGAAATTTCCCAGAATGCAAAGGAGGAATTGGTGGTGCAAAAAGGGAATTGTCTGGAGAGGATGAATGATACTTCTTGGGAAATAATTTCTTGCTTCCCAGTGTGAGGAAAATCCACAAACACTAGAGGTTTCTCTTCAAAAAGGAGGCAGAGGAGTTCTTCAATTTTATTCGAATAAAGTGAGAAACTCCACCAGGACACTCACCTGTGGCATTTCAGAGGGGGCGCCCTCCTTTTATCCTGAACTCCCGGCCGCCTGCTGCCCTCTCGCTTTCCCCATTGGCTGAGGCACCAGGAAGGTTCAGCCTTCCAGAACCACCTCCCACCTATCCCACCTTGAACCTACCATTTTACCCTAAAGTTCAGAAACTCAGGCGGTGCAGACCCTTGTCTATTTCGGGAGCAGAACTGCCTGAACTCTGCTACAAAAGTCAGCAGAGACATTGGGACACATTTCAAAGACATTAACACCCAACCTGCACCCAGCAAATTGTTTGTAAACACATGAGCTTTCCTCTCACCAGGGAGTAACAGTCATGTGGAAGTTTCCCAGGAAAGGAATGGAGATCCATCCCCTAAGGAGAGGGAAAAATCATAGACAGGGATAGAGGACTCTAGAAAGCAACAAAGACATTTCCCAGGAAACAAGGAGGAAATAGCCTGCAAAGCAACTGGGAAATTTCCTGGAGAGCAACGGGGGATTTTTTAGGAAGGAAGTGGGGAATTTCCTGGGAAACAACAGGCAGTGTTCTGGAAAACCATGCAGAGTGCCTAATAGGCAGTAGGGAGTTCCTAGGAAAAGAAATTTCGTCAAAAACAAGTTGCACATTGGGAAAAAGGCTGCAGTCCCATGCTTCAGCCCCACTGGCCCCTCCACCCCTTCCTGGTCCTTGAGTTAGGAACCTCTCAGGGAGTTTGGGTTGTTTTTGCTGCTCCCCACAGAGCTCAAAGGGCTCAGGGAAGAGCCGGGCGGTCGCTGCTGCTGCCCTTGGCCCCCATCCTGTCGGGGCCATGGGCTGCTTCGCCTCTGCCCCGGTGCCGAGCGCTGCCCGCCGCACTTTGGCCTTTGTTGGTTTGTCATTTTTGGCAGCACGGCCTTGGCGGGCAAGCCAAAGCAGTAGGGTGAAGAAGGATTAAAATAAACATCTGGACACGGCCCGGGGGTTTCCAGCTCCGGGAAGCCCCGGCTGGAGCGGGTGTGTCCGACCCCCCGCGCTGCGGGATTCCCACGCTCAGCTTTAGGTCCGGTTTATTAATTTTAATTAGAGATACTCTGGGCAGGGCTGGGGCCGGGGCCGGGGCCGGGGCCGGGGCCGGGGCATCGCTCGGGCATCTCCGGCAGCGGCGGCTCCGCCCCACCGGGAGCGGCGGCACTTTCACTTTCGAAAGGGACACGTGATTTCCAGGAAAACGGGAGGGGCGGATAAAGGATCGGGAAAGAGGCGGCCGCCCCCAGCGCCGAGGTCACCACCCGGCAGATACGGCACGGCACGGTTCGGCACGGCACGGCACGGCGGCTCTGCGGACCCGGCACCATGGCAGCGCAGGAGAAGGAGGGGTAAGCGGCGCCCAGGACCCCCGGCCCGCCCCGGGTGGCCCCGGTTCCCCCCGGTGACGGTCCCCGCCCGCAGGGAAGCCCAGAAGCTGCGGTTCGGACAGTGGCTGCTGAACGCCATCAACAGCGGGAGCTACCGGGGACTGCGCTGGATCGACTCTGCCCACACCATCTTCCGTGTCCCCTGGAAGCACAACGCCAGGAAGGACATCACCAGCAGCGACCTGGAGGTCTTCAAGGTGGGTGGCATGAGTGTCACCAGCAGGGACATGGAGATCCTCAAGGTGGGCGGGGTGGTGGTCGCCAGCAGCAGCATCAGGGTCTTCAAGGTGTGTGGGGTAGGATGGTGACCAGCAGCAAGCTGAGGTCTTCAAGGTGGGAACTGGGGAGATGGGGGAAGACCAGTCATCCCTGGAAACCTCCCTTCTCATGGAGCCAGGGACCCCATGTTCCCTCCCTGCACCCCCAGGGCTGGGCAAAGGTCAGTGGGCGGTATGAGGAAGGCTCCGAGGACCCGGCCAAGTGGAAGACCAACTTCCGCTGTGCCCTGAGCAGCACCCACTTGTTCAAGCTGGAACAGGACCATTCCAAGCGTGGTGATGACCCCCACAAGGTCTTCTCCATTGTCTCAGGTGAGCCTCGCCCCATGGAGGGGCTGTGTTAGATGGGGTGGGCAATCTCAGGGCCTCCCATTCCTGGTGCTCTCCTTTCAGCCACACTCCAGGACAGCAA